CCGAGTCTGAAATTAGAGAGTGGGCCCAAGATTCAGTAATGCACAATACGTCTGTGTCAAACTCAACAGCTACACTTCTTAGGTGTGCCATCTTATGCACGACAGATCTTGCGTTGAGAGAGACAATACTGAGCGCATTCCTAATATGTAGGTTCCGCTCATTGCTACTCATAAAAAAGAAAGAGCCGGAGGTGGAAAATTAAGCTGTTGGAACGGAGCAATTGGTGGAGGACAAAGTTGCTGCGGTCTAAAATTTATGGGGTAATTACTAGTTAGAGATGCAGCATTAGGTGGAAAAACATTTGAGGAGGACCCAGGAAGAGGAAAACTATTTTGTTGGATTGGAAAAATAGGAGACAAGAAAATAGGATTTTGGGGATTGATAGCATAATACGAGCGGTAGTTTATGTTAGGTGGCGGACGTAATGGTTTCGGGAAACAGTTAACATCAGGAAAGGGCTTTATTATTTGGGGTGTCAGGCTAGCAACGGGATTGGAAAATTTATCAGCAATGCAATATACTTGCATTTTGCAGTCTGATGTGTAAGAGGGCTTCACAACTGTGGCTTTAAGTTGAGAATTCAGGATAGGAACAGGTAAAGACCTCCCTGAACTCTCATCTAGCTTATTAGACCTAACTGCAAGGTCAGACCTGAGTGGCCAGGCGTGGGAACGGGGTGGATTCCATGTAAGTTTATTAACCAAATCACTATTCTGAGTGCTGGAAGCCGGCTGTGCTTCAAGGACTAGCTCATCTTTACTGCTAAGATCAAGCTCCCTTATAAATTTGGGAGCCGCATTTGAACAATCCTTGCTCCGTGGGGGAGTTTTAAAGAGGCTAGTTTTAACCGTCTCTGTGATAATATGATCAGTCGAAGAGCTAGATAGAACTGGGGCCGCTGTAGATAGTGGGGGGATTTGGTCGACACCAGATGGAGAAACTGCTTTAGAGGAAAAAGACATTTGGGTAGAATTCGGGGGTGGCCTTACGTTTGGTAATGGGGGAGAAATTTTTCGTTGCAGTGGAGTTTGGTCTCGACTAATTCAGATGTTTTGATGTCACCATCGATACAAAGTTTTAAAAAGAATCTTGACATATTTATGTTTCAAAATGACCAAGAGCGATGAGAAGTAGAGCTCACCCCCTGTAACCCGTCCTCATTTTCTCCTACAATTATGGGCGTGTTTGAACAATTTCAGCCCAGAACATTTATCTGTATACCACACATTTTTTTACGTTGCAAATAGGGTACTCAAAGGCTTAAACCTATTTCCCTCAATAAACTAAACTGAACTGAACTGACCTACCAATCAAAACCGCGCATTCAGCAGGCAACATTGAATGTGCTGAAGTTTTGTAACGCCCCTGGACTTGAACAGCATTGTTTGAATGCCGTGACACTTTTGGCGCGCGGACCTTGGATAGAGATGGCGTAGCCGCATGTTGGTGAAGATGGCCGTTGTCCCTTCCACTCTCTTCCACCGATCCCTTCTCCCGCTTCGTATCGTGACGTAACGTTCGTACCGCTTCCCTCGACAGTTCGACCGTCGATTTCGACGATGTCCACCGTGTGCCCCACAGCTGCAGCGGCGGTGGGAGCAGGGACGGTGAATTACGCAGGGGTTTATAGTGCCAGTAGACTTGCGTAGCATCTACCTACACTCTCTCCTCCTCCCCCGCCTGGGCCCGGTGTCAAGACAGAGTCAAGAAGACCGGAGACGAGGGAGGCCGCAGGTGGATGGCTCGGACGGATCCTCACCTTGGCGTTCCACCACACCCCCTGGTCCGCACAACAATAACCAGGATTTGAACCAACACAGCAGAGATTTGGAGGATGGCACGGCCGAAGCCGCACCTGGGCGTGCCGCCAACGCCTGGCTCGGATCCCACACTGTGGTAGGAGTGCCATAAAGGCCACATTAAAAAGGAGCCATTGCAGCCTGACTCTCAGACCGCCTCCCGTTAAGGAGGAGGTCCAAAGTACCCCGTCAGTTGGCAACCTTCCAAGCCACGGCTTTTAGCGCACCGTGATAGCTTCAAGCGCGTCAGATTGATTATAGTGAGGAAAATGCGCTGAGTCGTCGACCTCACTCTCCCTTCCCATTCCCACACCCCAGCCGCTGTCCGAGCCGGTCAGCAGACTGGAGTGAAGAATGGGCGCGGTGGCTGACATGGTCGACTGACCATGCCTGCGCGCGCCACAGCACGACCTGGCCTCCCATACACACACACAAACACCAGGATTTCACACAACGGGGGTTGAACGGCGTGTCTCCCACTTGCTTGAGAGGGCCGTGGAAGGTGCTGCTTCAGCCCGTCCCCAGCCCACCAGTCCGCCACTACACACAACACACACACACGTGACGAACTGCGTGAACCGAGAGCGGGCGTCAATCAGCAACCTTCCTATCCAGACGCTTGACGTGTCGGGATAGTCTCGGGCACAAGTCACCCGTGCAGTCGAAGCCGCATGGGGACCGAGTCGAGATGCACACTTCCCACTTGCGTGGGAGACGGCAGTTGAGTGCATGAGGTGTGTGGGGTTGATGTCTGGTGGGGTGATGGTGTTAGGAGTTAGGGACTGAGGGAATGTGTGGTGTGATCAGCGGTTGTCTACCGCAGGTCGTAGTGGATGCGCATGTGGCCGAATAGACCCATGCGATACGTGAAAGTGCGAGGGCAGTGTGGGCAGTGGAGGCGAGTGCGGTGAGTGTAGGTTGGTGCTCCAGGCACTGGTTCGCCAGTCTCTGTGCGATGGATTCGCAAGTGACCGACCAGGCCGATGCGTGAATTGGAGGTGCGATCGCAGTGAGGGCAGATGTAGTCTTGGCCCTCACGTCTGATGATGGAGGTTGCAGGGGTTGTGCCTGTTGTTGTGTCAGGTTCGGCTGTGGTGAAGTCGTGGGCGACAGACGCCGAAGTGGCCGTCGTTGTGGCAGTGATGGAGGAAGAGGAGGAGGAAGGGGAGGAGTGAGGGGTGGTAAGGTCAGTGGCGTCGATGTCGGCTGGGGAGTGGTTAGTGGGTGCACAAGGTGGTGGATTGGGAGTGGGGCTCGGCGGGGTGGGTGTGTCAAGGCTGCGGTCAATTCCGCTCTCGTGGATGCGCATGTGGCCGAATAGACCCATGCGATG